AAAAAAAAACTCATATAAAACTATTATTCTCCATATAAAGCTATTATTGACCATGTGACCTCTGGATGCCAAACCAACTGTGCAATATTAGAGGAATATTAGACTATGTTAAACTTAAAGGCCTCAATTTTCACTAAATTGATTCATCAACTTTCAATACTTTTTAAATCTCTGCAGACACCCTGGATGTAATATCTTGCAAACCTTTCACAACTCACCAGCACATGTGCAGTAGATACAGATATCACTTAACACGGGAGCATTTCTAGTAGCATATGCTATAAAGACTGTAGCACTGTACAGCCAACAATCAGACATCAGAAAAAAACACTACTGTCACATCACAAGTGTACAGCTGTAAAACCTCATGTTACATGTTACATGAGTTAGAGGGGACAGGGGACAGACCCGAAGAACAGTCAGGTGGGTAAAGAGTGGCCAGCTTCATTTTTGGGCAATTTCAATAGTCACAGGTGCGTTCAGATTTTGGTGCAGTACCTCAGCCAAACCAGCAGATGGGGTGCTTTTGTAGGCACTCCATCTGCAGATGGAGTGTTTTCCCACCAGTCTTTTAGTATGTCCGAATAGACCCAACTTGTTTAGTAGGTAGGAGTAGTATCTAGTGGTAGTATGTAGTATGCCAGTGGGCCTTTCGGACACAGCCTCAGTGTTTGTGCTCGTCTCCTCTATGTACGCAACGTCAGTCTCGCTTTGAGTGAATGCAGACTAGATGGAGGCGGCGGAGTCACATGACTTACACGGCGTGAGTTTTTTTTTTTTTTTTTTGTTAAGGGGACAGCACAGAGAAAGTGCCGAAATCACCGACATGAGTAACATAAAGTCGGTTTGAGGGTCTGACTGTTGGTTTCGGTATATTTCCGGGACTTGTCTCACCCACTTACAATGGCTCCGACGTCCATGCATCATATTGACATTCTCCTTTCTCCTCCAGATGACTCCTCCTCCTCCGGTCCCCAAACCTCGAGCTCGTTACATGAGGGACAGTCTGAGCTCCGCCTCCTCACTGGACAGGTGAGCTGACCTTCACACACAGACACACACACACACACACACACACACACACACACAGAATAAATGTGACTTTTTTGTGTTTCAGAGACGAGAACACTGAAAATCAACAACCAGCTTTCTCTAATGGAGTTCTCCTGAGCACAGGTATGCACACACACACACACACATACACGGTGTGTCGGCTAAACGTAATCACGTGTGTGTGTCGGCTAACTGTAACCACGTGTGTGTGTCGGCTGAACGTAACCACGTGTGTGTGTGTGTGTTGGCTAACCGTAACCACGTGTGTGTTGGCTAAACGTAACCACGTGTGTGTGTGTGTGTCGGCTAACCGTAACCACGTGTGTGTTGGCTAAACGTAACCACGTGTGTGTGTGTGTGT